GACTAATCACTACAGATGATTTAAACCAATAGTTTAGTATACAATTGATTTTCTTCTCCAAACCTTCATCCACTAGTTAAGAGAAAATTAGCCCCTTTATCAGAGAAAATTTTGCAATGCTTAAGCTACCAAAATAAGTGGAATGTCACAAAACTTTTCCCCAATTGGATGAGAATATAAAGCCCCACATTGTTTTCTATCAATCTAACATTTCAATTTATAAAAATCCTATGCTGTTTTCTATCAATCTAACATTTCAATTTATAAAAATCCTATGCCTTTGCACTTGGTTTTTCTATTAGATGTTGTAGAAGCAACATGATATCAGAACAAGCAGTTCGTCAGGTTTCAGGTCCAATTTTGTAAAATGTGCTCCACATCACAATATAAGGGAGAATATAAATTCATGTGAGCGCATATGTGAGGGGATGTTTTGAGTATATCAATTCTCACATCAGGTATTCTAATGCTTATATTTCAATGTATAAGATTTTAGGACTCCACCTATTGCCCATTGCCTCAACATAATCTTAATAAAAATTTGTGCCAGCAATTCATGATACCAAAAAAATCAGTGTCACTGAGCAGCAAGACAACTTTTCTTTTCACACATAATTTTCTAGAGTAATGTCTTTGCTCTATCATCGTCAATATTCTAACTATTAATCCGCGAATGTTTAAATATTCTTAAACATTTTTATATATGCAATTTATTGCTTTCTCTTCATATTCCGTATGTGCCTATGTATAATCTAATTAATTTTTTATGTACTTATATATTATATTTATCCTTTTAGCATAGTGTATGGTTCACATAAAGTAACGAATAAAATACAAAAAATTAATCACACAATAAATAATTTTAGTAAATAACTATAAAAATTCTGATCGAAAATTAGAAATTCTCAAAATTTATAAATATGTACAAATTCCCATTCCAACTTTAATGAGAAAATCGAAAATTCCATTCCAACTTGTACCCTGAACGAATCAATTTGCGGTTGTTGACTACGGGCTTTCTTCTGTGGCCCAAACGAATGTGTAGTTTCTTGGCCCTTGAAAAATTAATTATCTTTTTGGGCCATAAGTGGTTTCATGCCGTAAAATTATTTTACGAAAATACCACAACCTTCAAGATTATTTCAAAAGCTTCCATCTTCCACCGCTCAGCGTGAGAGAGGGAATGTTGGATTGGATCAAGACGCAGAGAGCGGAAGAGCCCAGTAAAAGGTTATTAATTTGGTTCAATCGAGAAAGTTTTAATATCGGGGTTTTGGGTTTTTGGAATCTGGGCCGTGCTGTTTCTGTCGATTTCAGCTTTGCCAAGCTACCTCAGGTGCATGTATTTGATCTCCGACGTCCTAACATTGCAGACGATTGTAATCCAAAGAGAGACTATAATTTTGGATACAGAAATCGGCCCATTAATCAGGTACTTATGAGGAAATTCCAAATTTCTAGATAAAGTACGTTTTGATTCTGGTTATTGATGACATGTTTTTTATTTTTCTGTTTAGGGTTCTTTTAATTGCATTGAAATATGGCTGTAATGATCGTTGAATTCCCTCAACTGGGTAGTATCGAATCCTATCGAATTCTACGTGTATGGACTCTGTTTGGATGCTTGCAAAGTTATGTGGGTATTGGAAATTCAGTTTGGAACTGAGAATTTGGAGTTGTTTTCTATGTCGGTTATGAGTTTGACAATTTTAGGCTAAGAAAGAATTAGAGTATACTTATTAAGTTGAGTGAGTGCTATATAATGGCACTTGCATTTGTTTTGAACCTACAAAATATTTGGCCCTTTTCTGTACTGAAATCCGATGACCTGAAAGTATCGAATGAGTTGGTGCGCAAACTCGGAATACCTGAACGCACGAAACAATTTGTTTACGCAGTTCATTAGCCTGAAACTCAGTCTATAATTTACGTACTTTCTGCTCAAAGTTTATCAGAGTGGCCAGCAACGGATGCTGATTGTCTAATTAGGGAGATTAGACCTGATGCTCTCATTGCCCAGGTGGGTCATTCAACTCTGAAATTCAATCCGAAGAAAGTGTATTATATGATGGTTTTGATAAATCATTTCCCACTTCAACGTTAGGAGTTCTCAAACGATGTTTTTTAGAGAAGGTTAACAAGGAGGGGTATGAAGATATTGCAGGAAACTTGGTTTTACAAAAGATTTTTGGGGTTGGTTTTCATGGACATTTTTTTGGCAGCCAAGAGGGTGGCTCAGGAGGTTGGATCATCATTCTTGGTGCTTGAATTGCCATTTTTAAAAAGTTCTGGTGCGGAGAATACCCCAGGTGCACTTGAAGCAGTGAGCAAGTTCCAGGGTTTAGTGGCTTACTTCCACAGAAAGTGGGTTTAGTTGCTGCATTGAGTTCGATGAGGTTATACATAACCAATGATTTACAATCACAGATGATTAAGTTATTATCCCGGTATATTGATTTATCAATATCGAGGCTAAGTCCATCAACTTCTGTTTCTAAGGTGGCGTCAAAAGAAATTCAGCTGGAATCCAATTATGAGGCCCCAAAGTTTGCTCAGTCGATTTATCCATATCTTTTGGATCTACATAATATTTTTTCTGATCTCCCAGCAATGGGAAAGGCTCTAGCTAATGCTCAAAAGATGCTCTACAATGTGAACAGATGTGAAGCTGTAGATACCAATGTTATATCTGAATTCTATGCCCTTCAGTTGCAATCAAGGGGCTGAGAATTTCTCTGACCAATGCCGGTCACCTTCCCATTAATAAAATGAGGGAGCCGAGCTTAAATCAGGCTAAGCTTTCCGATCTTCCAGTTGAGGACAAGTCACATGCTCTGCTGGTAGAGGCCCTTCGTCGCCAGACTAAGAAGTTCGAGACCATAGTGGCAGTAGTGGATGCTAGTGGCTTAGCAGGTCTTAGAGGTCAAGGAAATGGTCGGAAAGCTTGTTACTGATTGTGAGGGTGAGGGGGAAATGTCAAATGATACTGACAGGAAAAGACTGCTAACTGATAAACCTTTGGTGGCAGTAGGGGCAGGGGCAACAGCAGTTTTAGGAGCATCTTCACTCTCCAAAGCCGCGACACTCAAATTTCCTGCTTCAACCTTGATGAAAGTGGTGACTTTCAAAGTTCCAGCTTCACTTAAACTCTTTCTAAGACAAACCCATAAGGTGGTGGGATTTGCTCTTAGTAAGACGCTTGGCCCCTCAAAAATGGTAGCTCCAGGTGTCAAATCAACAACTTTACTGAAAACAACTGCTTCTGCTGAGAAGATCCGAGTAGCTGCCCATAGTGTTATAGGTGCTGCAGAGAAGACTAGCTTTTCAGCCATGAGAACAGCATTCTATCAAATAATGAGGAAACGACATATCCGGAAAATTGGTGTCCTACCGTGGGCTACCTTTGGGTGTAGTATTGCAACTTGCGCCGGATTGGTTGCGTACGGAGATGGGATTGAATGTGCTGCTGAATCTCTACCTGCAGCTCCATCATTTGCCAGTTTGGGTCCCGGGATTCAAAGTTTACACCTCGCATCTCAGGAAATATCACTGAGAGATAGCATGAAATTACAAAAATCTATTGAGTCCCTCATGTACAGATTGAAGAAAGTCAGAACTCAGTAGTAAGAATGCAATTCTTATCTTATTTGTATAGTAATCGTTGCTCTTTTCAAAGTGGTTGATGGATAAAAGATAAGACTTCATGGAACTTACTGTAATTGTAGAGTGTATAACAATCTTCGTAGAAAACTGAAAGAAAAAGTGTCTAAAGAAGGGGTTCTTTGTATCGTCATTTGTGTGTTTTCCATGTTCTGTATTGGGAATCTGTTGCCTACACGCAAATATTGCAGGACTCTTTTCGAGTTTAATGTAAGTATTGTGCGTTCTTTTGGCCGGAGTTAGCTTAAAAAAGAATGACGGTGAATACATGTATATGTGAACAAAGAGTTGTCTCTATATATATTTGAGCAATACACATGCAATACTCCTCTCTCACACGCTTTGGTACTTAGCTTTGATTGCATATTATATATATTGTACTCTGTAACATGTATTAACAAGGTGAGTTTCACACTGTCGTAGGCTGTATCATTCATTGTTTTGTGCCTGTTTCTCTTTGCTTTACTGTTTTTTGCTCTGTTTTTGGGAGATTCATGTGGTGCCTATTAAGGTTATCGTTTCTGTATAAATATATTTCTCAATTCTTATATGGTGTGTGGTGGTTGTTTGGGCAGCAGGTGCAGTTCATGCACAAGCAAAGGTGGAGGCTGTGTAAATGTAGGGATACCGTCCCAAGAAAAGGTAAGTTAGCGATTTTTCGTCTTGAGTAGAACAAATCCATGTAAACACAGTAATTTCCTGCTTATGGTTTAATTTGTGTTAATATGATGCTTAACGAACACTGTGTTGATATAGTTAAAAGTAAAATCACATTCGTTGGAGTTCATTTATCTTTGTGAACAACTTTTTCGTACAAGTGATATTGGAATCGAACTCAGGAATTTGCGTGCTAGAATCTCGTTTCAGTTTCTGTTTTTACATGCAACACATCGTCGAAGACAGAGATCATTTTGGTGGGTTCATGGATTTGTATCTCAACATTTTGTGTCCAAAAGATTCATATATTGACCAACTTCACAAAGATGCTCAACTCAAATTATTTGTATCTACCTGGATTTTCTTTTATTTTTATAGTAATTGTAAGGACAAATCAAGTTTTATTTTTATTGTTATTATTTTTTTCTGAATAAACGATATTATCTACACTAAGAAGGTAAATCGAATATGAGACCTTTCACTTATAAGTGAAGATCAATACCGATAAATCGTAGTATTAAGTGACATAATAGATCGAGATTAAATACTAAATCGTACGGGCGCACTTTTTTAGTTTTTGGTATAGAAACGGCGCCGTAACGATTGCAAATGATGAAAATGTCTCAACTTCAGTTGGCCACTCGGCCCCACTCACATTCATTCCAAACGACAAAATTCAATACAAATATCTCACCAATGAACTCCAAACCATTGGCCCAGCTCATTCAAAACAAAGGAAATTTAGTAAGCTGGTCAAAATTTTCACAACTAAATAAATACAAGAATGATTTAATTGTTACTTAGTTTAATATCCTTGACTCTTGTGATGTTTTTGATAGATTAATGCTGGATTTGTTTCTCTATAAATAATAAATAAAAACAAACAGTGTTAGCATCCTCGGATTTTTGAGCCATTTTTTCAACTATCACGTTCTTTTTTCCCTAATTTTTGTCGATTTGGGTTTTGTTTAGAATTCAAATTCTGGGGTTTGTGAGGCAAAAAGGTTGGATCTTGTGAGGATATTGATCCGATCAAGAAAGGGAGGATAAAGACGTAGAGAGAAAGAAACCCAGAAAAAGGGTTTTGAGCATTGGAGAAGCAGCTGAAAGGTTTAAAAACTTTTGTTTTTGGGTCATCTGAAAAAGTGCTTATAGCTTTTCCGGTGAGCTGTGAAGGTTTTGCTTTACTGGGTTTTGGTGTTTTCAGCTTCCCCAAGTTGGTTGAGGTACTGAAAGAACTTTTAAAGCTGTTTCTGGTTCATTTCATTATTTTCTAGTACTAGTTTAGTGGATAGAGAGAAAATGCTAATGCCCAAATATATATTTATAGTCGAGTTTATTTTTCGGTCTTATGATTCTAAGGAAATGAGATTCAACAGATAATTTCTATTTCGATAAATATTCAGGAGGTTTTGAAGTTTAGTGGGCGAGAAGTCAGAGGAATCTGGATTTAGTTGAGGTTGGTTTTCTTTAGAGGCAGAGATTGAAAAGGGGACTTCTGGTTTATATTGATACTGTGGCATTGAGATGGGGGGTCAATGCTTCAAACTCATACCATGTTGCTGGAATTCACAAATGAAGGCAGCGGTTCTCGAAACTCCTGATATTGGTGGGTTAAAATATGTCTTTTCTTGGCTGTTTTGATGTAGAAGCAGATCATGATGCTTGTGGATGGTTCTCCTTTAATACAGATAATGAGGAGAAGAGTGAGGTTGATAACTTACCTGCATTTCGTGAATTCACATTTGAGCAACTTAAAAATGCAACATCTGGTTTTGCCGTGGAGTACATTGTGTCTGAGCAAGGAGAGAAGGCTCCAAATATTGTTTATAAAGGGAAACTTGAAAATCAGAAGAGAATTGCTGTTAAGCGCTTCAATAGGTTGGCCTGGCCCGATGCTCAGCAATTTGTGGTAGGCATACTTTTATGTATCATAAAACTCTAATCCAGATGCTTTGGTGACGAAAACTAGTCTACATTTTCTGCAGAACTATTGTTTCTATCTTTATGTTTTACACTAATGTAATTTTCTGTTGAGATCTTATGTGGTTTGCAACTCAGGTCATAGGGTGCTTTTGGCATATAGAATTCATGAATGCATTGCTGTATTTCTCCATGACTGAAATTTACAGTTATTTTTGGACCAATTGATTCCTCATCAAACGTTTTATCTGCTCCACTAAAGGAAGCACGTCATTTTCTGTCTTCTCTATTTACAACCACTATTCTGAGACGATTTTCATTTGCCCCAACTGCAGGAGGAAGCAAGATTGGTCGGTCACCTCCGCAACCATAGATTGGTCAATTTGCTTGGTTGTTGTTGTGAAGGTGATGAAAGGTTGCTTGCGGCGGAATATATGCCCAATGAAACACTTGCAAAGCATCTTTTTCATTGTAAGAAGGGATTTGACTGCTATACATGATATCCTAGAGAGTATCGGCTATAAAGATGATGGAATGACAAATGAGGTTCTATATTTGCTTAATTAATGGAGAAAAATCCAAGTTGTGTTGTGTACATATTTAGCCTTCTCAATAGTTTGGTTGTGTTACTGAAACATTTTCTGTCTTACATTCCACTACAGCTCTCGTTCCAAATGTGGACTGACCAAATGCAGGAATCATTAGATTCAAAGAAAAAGGGGGATTCTGCTTTTAAGCACAAGGACTTCAGAACCACGATTGAGTGTTATTCACAGGTTAGGTTCTTATTATGATACTTGTGGGAAATTCTGAGTAGAGGTTTGGTAAGAGTTGCTTTCATGTTCATACCGATATCCGAACATGACCTTCAATAGGAAGTTCATTATCTGACCTGTTAAAATAAATTACTAGCACAGCTTCGTACGAAGTTTGTTTGGCTTTACATCTTATCTTCTAATTCTTGATAGAAGAAACGAAATTGGTAGTTTAAGGTACCTTAAGAGTATCTGAACCTAGTAACTCTACTTGCATGACCAATAAAAAAGAAAAAACTGAAAAAAAAAAAAAATATTAAATCCTGAATTGCTGCTTTCTCTGCATTTGTTATCGTTGCCAACTCTTTTATTTTGCTTGCAGTTCATTGATGTTGGAACGATGGTTTCTCCAACAATTTTTGCCCGGCGTAGTTTGTCTTATCTCATGAGTGACAAGCCTCAGAAAGCTATAAACGATGCAATGCAAGCACAAGTAGTTTCCCCAGTTTGGCACATTGCGTGTTATCTTCAGGCTGTTGCCCTTTTGGCCCTTGGAATGGACAGTGAAGCTCAAGCAGCACTTAAGGAGGGTACTACGCTTGAATCCAAAAGGAGGAAAGCAGGTGGACAAAAGTGAAAATCTAGGCCGGACGACCAGCTGCCCAGTTTTCCACTTCTTTCGGTTTGGCTCTTGGCATATATGGCGTCGATCGATCATAAGGTTTAAGACCACTAGAGCCAAAGCTTCATCATTTCCATGGGATTAGATTTTGGTCATTTTCCTTGTATTTGAATTGTTTTATTTGATTTGCTTTCTTATCTGTCAATTCGAGTATATGAATTCCTTTGACAAAATAGAAAGCAAAAATAGAAAGTTTGTTAAAAACAGTGGTAGGGAGGAAATCGTTCAGAAGCTTTATAATTTGTGTACAGAAAGCATATAGGATTCCTACTTGGATAAATAAATAATAATTATTAGTTTTTCAAACGTCGTCTTATCGTTGTCAGACATTGATATAAATGACTACTTGGATAAAAATTAAAAATAAAAGGTTAACTCTTTGTTCAAAAATGGGTAATGTACAAAAAACTACCTCAACTATTGGTGTCACGACACTTCATATCTCATCTTTTAAATTTGACAATGTCATACCTCATCTTATGAATTTGTGTCAATGTCAGATCTCTATCAGTTTTTCTGTTACTTTTTCTGTTAAATGCTAACGTGGCCAGAAACATAATCCATTTTTATTAAAAAAAAAAAAATAAATATTAAAAAATTTAAAAACAAATACAAAAAAAATAAAAAAACAAAAAACAAAAAACCAAAAAAAACCAATCAACCTATGTCCCCCTCCCCAAAAATCCAGATCCCCTTCTCTGAGTTCTCCCCCACCCAACCCTCTCTCTCCTCTTTCTCCTTGTAAGCTGCATCCCTAAGATCCCAAAACCCAGAAACCATTCCCACTCGAGTCATCACCGCCAGCGAGCTCTCAATCCTCTAAGCCGACGATCGCTGATTAACCCCAGACCCTTCCTCGCCACTCCCGTTGGCATCGGAGCTCTCTTTCTGGCACCACAAGTGTTTCTGGTTCCCCCACTTCAAATACCACGGCAAGTTGAAATAGTGCAGAGGCTTCGCCCTCTCAGAACCCATCGCCATGGACTTCACCTCCATTCTCTCCTCCTCATCCGACCCCCCTATATACACCATTTATCGGAAACTCATACCAAAGAGAGCCACTCTCAGATCACAACTCTCTCTCTCTCTCTCTGTTTCTCACCCTCCTCTGATTTTCTCGGAAAATCTCAGAATTTTCTGGGAAAAACAGAGAGTTCTTCTATTAGGATTGTTGTTGTTGTTGTTATTGTTTTGTTTTTCTCGCGCAAATCACCGGAGGGGCAAACTTTGGGATCGAGGAGGAGAATGGAATATTGTTGTGGAGGTTGTGGCTAACGTTAGGGTTTGGGGGTGATTGGGGGTTGTGGCTATCATTGTTGGAGTTAACGACAAAGGTAGGGTTGTCATCGGTGGGATCGGAGAGGAAGGTTGGGGGGGGGGGACGGGTGGGAAGGATTTCTGGGTTTTGGGATTTTAGGGATGTAGGTTGCAGGGAGAGAGAAGAGAGAGAGGTGAGAGAGAGAGGAGAGAGAGAGGGTTGGGTGGGAAAGAACTCAGATAAGGGGATCTAGGTTTTTGGGGAGGGGGACACAGGTTGATGGGTTTTTTTTGGTTTCTTTTTGTATTTTTGTTTTTTTTTAGAACTTCTAATATTTAATTAATTTTTTTTAAATAGTTAATTAATTTTTTAATAAAAAAATGGGTCCCGTCTCTGGCCACGTTAGCATTTAACAAAAAAACTGACGGAGGTCTGATATTGGCACAAATTCGTAAGATGAGGTATGACATTGTTAATTTTAAAAGATGAGGTATAAAAGTGTCGTGACACCAATAGTTGAGGTAGTTTTTTGTACTTTACCCTTCAAAATTTTATGACGAACAAAACAATCATATACAGTCTAGAATTAACTGAATTTCTTTAGTAAATATCATGATACTAAACATATACTGCAAAAAGGTCTTGATGAAGTAAAAGTAGCAGTAAACTTCTTACAAACAAGTAACACTAACAAATCATCTGCCAAGGAGATGTAGTGGTAAAGTTCTTTATTATGACAACTCAATACTTGAAAACTTAAAACAGATAAGGCCCGTGAAGCTCTTCTAATGAAGTAAACACTTATGTGTTGTCTCAGAAGACGTTGAAAATAAAAATAGACAAGCACACGTAAAACTTTACAAAGAGATGCATGCATATGGCTTAATTTAAGAAAGAAAAGTAAAATCACATTTACATACCATTGCTTAATTGAAGTGCCACTTAATCAAACTCACCCTCACATAAAGCCAATCATTCAAGACATTCAAGAAGCTGAAGTACGAGTATATCCATGGCTTGATGAAAATCAGGTTGCCACAAAATCCCCAAAATCCAATAATAAAACCAAGCGTCATGCTAATGTAAAATCCCCATGTTATAGGCTCATCCTTTTCTTCTACATTGCTTGAGATCACGGTTTCATGTTGATCATCACACATCTTTTGAATTAGAGGTCCGCACAGTTGAGGATTTTTAGCATAATTAGAGGGATCGGATAGACCCAGATGTGTGAGAAATATGCGTTGCATGACAAAGTTAAATCTCACCGTTCGTTACAATCCAAAGGCTGATACGAGAAGAAAATAATCACCGACGGGAAATGTGGATAAGTGTCTTTAACAAAACGCTAAAAAAAAAAAAAAAAAAAAAAAAAACACCCAGAAATTTATTTTTGTTATGAATAATGCTAGAGAAAACAATATTTTAAACCAAATTATATGGTGGAAAATAAACACGGTAATCAAACCTTAACTAATAATTCAATTATTAACAATCATATCATTTGGTTAGTAAATTTGGTTTAAAAATTTGGTCTCTCTAGCATTATCCGTTTGTTATCATGGGATGGTTTGTGGTTTGGATTAACCTAAAATGAGATCTATTTTTACTCCGTAATTAAATATTAAATCCAATAGTGAATCATCATATATTTCTTGGTCACTACATAACCAAGAGAACATTTTTGGATTTTGGGTATCTAAATTTTGTTCAATAAATCGTAAGAAACTTGTTGAATACTTAGATGAACACACATTATATGTTTATTTCCTATGTTTTCATTATGTTTTAATATTTTATAATTTATAAGCTTGCACTTGTTCATACGCTAATAATAAATTTACTTAAAATCGCCTAGGTGCTAGGCCCAACTCGTCACTCAAATAGCGCCTTACGTCTTTTTAAAATATTGGCAAAAGCACAATAATTCCCCCATCTTAAAACCAATTACAATCAAGATCAAGATGCAGAAACACAATTAATCAAGAATTCATCGCCTTTGCCCCTCTTAAGTCGAGTTTTGAAAAGTCAAAATATGTCGATTTTTTTTTTTCAATCGTGCAAGTTAGTCGAAATTTCGAATGGTAGTGATCTCGCAAAGTCTTTTCATATGTAACAAGTCTATTAACCTGACCTATGTGATCGGGCAAACTTTTGTAAGACCTGTGTGGAAAATATCAGCCATTAGAACCAGATTGTGCGGCCAAAATAAATTTAAAACTTTTTCATTTATTTTCTACGCGCAATGAAGCGTCGTTCTTTTGCCCGTTTCTCTTGTTCCTTCATATTCTTTCTTTACTCATGAGTTCAGTTTAATACGATTTGATTTTTGTCAAAACTGAAGTTAGTATTATTGAAATATTTCACATCAATCGTATGTATGATAAAAGAAGAATTTAAATATCCTAACATACTTTAACTAATACTGAGGCATTTTGTGATAAAATTTCATACCTGACGGATTGTGCATGTGATAATTAATTGCCAAGTTGGGAACAATATCGGTTTTGCTAGAGTGGGCCTTTGGCTCATCTCTTCAATAATTCTACATGGTACCAGAGCCAATGAGCGGGCATGTATTGCCACATGATGGTTGGGTCCCCTTGGCCCCACGTGATGATGGTGGGTCCCTTGACCCCGCGTGTGAGGTAAGTCCTCTTAGCTCCAAGTGGTATATGTGATCCATAAATTTGGTCCAACGTGAGGGAAGTGTTGAAATATCCCACATCGACTGTATTTTTGACAAAATAAGAGTTTAAATATCTTAACCCCACATCTGACGGATTATGCAGGTGGTAATTATCAAGTTGAAGACAATATCAGTGTTGTTGGAATGGGTCTTTGGCCCATCTCTCTAATAATTCTACATGGTATCAGAGTCAGGAGTGGGCTTGTACTGCTACATGATGGTTGGGTCCTCTTGGCCTTGCACGATGATGGTGGGTCCCTTGACCCTGCGTGTAAGGTGGGTCTCCTTGGCTCCATATGGTTGTCGATGTCTGGATCTCCCATGTGTGACTCACAAATTGGATCCCACATGAGGAACGTGTTGAAATATCTCACATTAACCATATCTCTGACAAAACGAGAGTTTAAATATCCTAACCCCACACCTGACGGATTGTGAATGTGGTAATTACCAAATTGTGAACAATATTAGTGTTGTTAGAGTGGGCATTTGGCCCATCTCTCTGATAATTCTACAACTATTTGGTTCGGTCCAATTTGATTTTTTTTTTAATTCATAAAAAAATAAACAGAAGTAATTCGGTTTGGCCAATTTCAGTTTGGTTTTGATGATGCGGCTGTGGCGTTAAGATTAGATTAATATCCCACACGCACAGTACTTCCTGTTCTTCTCTTTACTACACCACAAACCACTTTCTATAGCATTCAATAAATATATGCATAAGCTAAAAATATGCATCTAAGCATTCTCCGTCGTTTGATTAACTCCACCCTTACTTAAACCCAATCGATCGTTTACAACATTTAAGAACTTGAAATATGCACATCTCCATGACCTATTGAATATCCATTTGCCACAAACGCCCTAAAATCCAACAACAAACCCGATCCCCTTACTGATGTAAAAATCCTCTCTATGCATCCAATGCAGGGATTGCAGTACGACCATGTTCTTTAGAGTCAAATTAAGACCAAGAACCACAATTACTTAGGAAAGCAAAATAATTCCACTTGATAAATCAAGTACCAAGAGCATCTCCCATATCGTCTTCATATTTGAGGATTTCTTTGAGATATTTGGCGATTTCTTATATATTGAGATACCTTGAGACCTGTATTCTGGTTCATTAGAAGACATTTGTCCCTATATTCAGATGATGGGTAATCCTAAGGAAACCAAATTTGCAAACCAAAATGATGTGGTTGTTGATAATTGGATTATTATTAAGTGTTGATTAACTTGCTTATTTCTTATTGGTGACACATTTGGTTTGCAAATTTAATTTAAAATTTTGGTCTTCCTAACATTACCCTTAGGAGATATGGGGATGTGAGGACTCTATTTATTGTCCCCATTGAAGATGCTCGCTTTACAATAATTCCATTAGACAACATAATTGATAAAGTGAGACTTTTTGATGCCCCATTGAAGAAGCTCGCATTACAATAATTCCACAAAACTACTTTCTTTTTATTCACCAAGGTATTGAAAATCCTAGTGTAAAGCCCCTTTAACCTATAAAAATAATTTTAGCAAGACCATAATTTTCAAAAGTGATTATCTTTTTAAGTGAACCACTGAATCTGGGATGAAAGTTAATCCCTTTAAAACTGAGACACTCAACACACGCTTCAATAGGTGAGATGCTATGGTTAAAAAATAAATATTATTTGAATAAGTGCTTACACCAGAATCATTGGCCTTGAATTTGGGGCTACATCTAACTTTTCTAATTCGAGTAATATTCTAATCTAAACTAAACTATAGGAAGGGAAATTCGAACTTCGGGTGCAAGTTCAAGGGGGAGCATATTGCTCTAACCAACTTGGCTACACCCAGGTATGGTGGGATGACAAATGGCTTAAGTTAGGGGAAAGGGATCCTCTCCAGATCCATTTTGTAGGGATCCTAAGGATCCCCACATCTTAGCCGTTCATTGTATATCGTGCAGACAATTTTCGTCAGATACTATTTGTGTTTAATTTTAAATAATACAAGTCAAATGATTTATGATCGCACAATACACAATGAATGGCTAAGATGTGGGGATCCCTAGGATCCCCACAAAGTGGATCCGGATGGGATCCAATTCCTAAGTTAGGGACATTGTTAGATTGTGAAAGAATATGACAGTGTCTAGCTGTTTTCCTTACGAAAAGAGTGATTCAATGGACACTTGAGAATTGTCTCTGGGCACCCAAGAATGGTTTATGAACAACTAAGAATTTGTCGTTATAGTTGGGTGTCCGCAGAATCACCCTTATGCAGAAGAATATATTTACAGAGAGAGGAATATCCAACTTTTGGGGGTCACTGTTGATTGTTAAAAGCCTCTTCTGCAACTGGATCTGCAAGGGAAAGAAACATCAAACATGGCAGCAGATGGCTTACCTTGGTCTGGGTTTGCATTTGAGACTTGACACACACTGCAACTGTTTTAAGTTGATGTCCCTAGCAGATGTCTGGTCCGACGTCCAGATAATAGTACCATCCTTGTCTCCAGTGAAGATACTAATCAAACAGCCTGTCTTTCTATAATAAAATTGCTGACATAAATTTTAGTTCATCAAATCATTACATCCATTCAAATATTACAAATTTAAAACATCCACTGATCCCATTTGAAGAATCAAGGTGAATAACCATTCTAATGAAATCATCAATGAAATCCCCCTTTTATTTATATATATATATATATATATATATATATATATATATATATATATAATGCGGTAGGATTAATATTTTCTGCTAGCAATCACAGTCTAAAATAACGGAACGATTACAGATCTGTTTCTTTGCTGCCATTAGCTCAAAATGACTCCTTTGTTATTCCATAGTAGACTGGTTCTTCGCCTACAAATATAATGAAATTCCAGAAAAAAGCAGACCCACCAACAATATATGTCCCTTGAGTCTGACCATCTTCACCCCGCTGCTTCTCACTGGCTACACCTGATGGAAACTTATTTTCTGATGGCTTCCCAAAAGCCCTTGTATCTTGGGGCTTTTCAGCTGCTGCACTCTTACTTCTTGTTGCCGAAACTGTTTCTGCCATCATCTGTTTGCAAAGTTCCATCAGAAGCTCCACATCTGCAATTTGCAACATACATGATCATAAGCACATCCCATGATCAATCCATAAAAAGTCACTTTCTACTTGTCCGTCAAATGGCAAGTAACAAACAACATCTCATGCAATTGGCTCCATCAAAAAGCCTTGAACTCAAAAGTGTCCAAAGGGATACAAAAACTGGAGAAAAGGCATACATGGAGCTCAAGAAACTCAGGACAGAACCATGCGTCAACATAAGAAGATGAGTGAGACAGATATCTCCTCGTAAAGGAAGCAAAAGGCCATCAGAATGCTACTAACAATATCTAGTATTGGGTGGCCAACAATAAAATTATCACAAACTGAGTTCCAAGGGTGAAACTCAATATGATCATTCACATGATAGATTAATAAACCAAGTTAGCATGTCAAGGAAAGTCGGGAGTCATAACCATACCATTAATAAACCATTTGAGTTAAGATTAACAAATCAGGTCAGATTTAATAATCCATCTGAATGCTACTAACAACATTCTAGGATTGGGTGGCCAACAATAAAACTATCACAAACTGAGTTTCAAGCGTGAAACTAAATATAATTATTCACCCGACAGATTAATAAACCAAGTTAGCACGTGAATGAAAGTCGGATGTCATCATAAGCACCGCATTAATAAACCACTTATTTTAATATTAAAAAATCAGCTCAGGTTTATCATACAACTCAAGGGATAACTATATGTCATTGTGTGAAAAGATGAAAACAAAATCTTGATGAGCTTACATTCTTGAATTTCTTCGGATGGCTTGCATGTTCCAAAGTCAGGGGTCTGGAGAACCTTCAAGATAACAAAAGACAACAAGTTACTTCATGCATACTTCAAATAATGTGGTAAACAGAAGAAGCAGTTCAAAACAGCAGGATTTAGAATGATTACATTGACAACCTTGATAGACGAACAATCTACAAACCAAGTTAACACCCAAAGGCCCCCCCAACAGTCTCAAGAGGACCTAATCAACTTCTAAATTCTACCCATGGCATACAGATTACATAATGATATAACATACATTTAACTTATTACACTTGGTCTGCAGCCTAAAATAATCGAACACTATCCGAAATGTAGCAAATAAAAACTAATTTTGACAGCTTCACGTAATACAAAATAGAAACACCTCAATTCACTAGAGAACATAAATCATATGCCTTCATTCTTCACTTAATAGTTCAAATATTAGAATTTTGCAACCGAAATCATTAATTTCAATCATTACTAACAGACATTTCCATCAAATTCATTACTTAGACAAATTTTTCAATGCAGAGCTACGAAGGGCGCCTAAAATGTAAGTACAAGGCACCGGAATTACAAAGATTATACATTTATTTAATCTTATTAAAGAAAAATGAAATATTTAGAAAGGTTAAAGACATGCAAATTGTGAATCCAAACAAACCCAAATCCACAATTCAATAAAAAGAAAACCCAGATCACAAAAATCTTCAAAATTTACAAGAAATTCACATAAAGATGCAAAACTTGGGACATGGGTTTTTAGCTGTACCTCGAAATGAGGACGGACCTCTTTGAGGACGCTGCGAACCCTGTAGAGGGTGGATGAGTTGGAGAAAAGAGCATCATTTTCAAGGGGTCTCTTCTTGGTCTTGGGAGGAAGAGAAGACGGAGGAGGCTATACAGGGAGAACTTCGGCGGAGCTCAGAGGGGTTGGGAGGACTTGGGTAGCTGTGGACTCGGCTGGCTTTGCTTCTTCCATTGGTGCTGTTTGTCTGGGGAGTTAAAGGACCGATGGGTTTTAACTTCTAAATTGCACAGGAGGAATAATAGTATAATGTTAGGGAGACACAATTGATAAATATAATCACGAACAACGAACTTAAGAAAGTAAACTCTCGTTCTTTATTCAAATCTCTTCCATTCTCTTTCCTCTATTTTCTAGTGCCCTGTCTTTCTGTCTCCTTAAATTCATAATTTTCAGGCGAAAAAATGAGCTTAATAACGTTTCATGATTTTGCATTCCACTTACTTCAGAAGAGCTTAACACCAGTTTATACAATTTGGTTGCTAAAATGCGCAATTGACAAGTTGATGCAATGTGGAGTTTTCTCAAAATCCAAGTTAATCAATATCGCTTTTACGCCAAGCACTTGATCACTCTGTACATCACTTTTAAACGCATCTTATACTTTCATCATGCTTGTGCTCTCATCATTGTTGTCCTTATTAAATCTACTTTTAAAATTTTTATTATTAGCACTTCAAACTTCCAGGATTTAAAAAGAAAAATAAACTTGTGAGTAGGGTGCAACTTGGGCGAATTGGGCGAGTTAGATGGTTGACCAAATCCTAACACAACATTTCTAATTCGGGTATGAGTTGGGTTTGGGTTCCTAGGGGTTTACTCAAGTACGGGTTTAAATTGGGTTCGGCTTACTCGAGTTAAATTTGGGTTTGCCCAATTTTATCAAATTCAATCTTCCAACACATTATTTATAAGATAAATCTCAAATTTTGATCCAAATAATGCAAAACTGTTTAAAATTCAATTTTACACATCACCATCCATAATAAAAATAAACCAAATAGCATGGAACGCATATCAAAAGTTCCAACCATGCAAAGTTGAAATTAAATGACAAGACAATATCAATGCTTAACCAACAATAAAACGTAAAAGCAACTAGGGTCGGGCCAGGCCCAATTTTGAAGGAACCAGACCTTACCCATTTTAAACAGTAATGGGGCGGGCCGGACCGGGTAGAGGGTTTTTAAGTTTGGGAACCGGCCCTAAACAGGCCCGTCAGTTTCGAGGCGGGTCCACGAGCCCAATTAACTTTTTTCTTTTTCTTTTTTGGTTTTGATATAGAGCTCCAGAACGTTCCACGGTTCCAGATTGCTCCCACTGCCAACGAAATCGACGGGTTGGAAGCTACCCGCACCAGTAGCTGAACCACCAGTGGTGAATCGGTGAAGGTGGTGGTCCCCGTCTCTCTTGCTCATCTCTCCCAATCCCAAATCAAGGTCTTTGTCTCTTGACTCCGATCGACGACGATGGCGCAAGGCTCCAATCTGACTCAGATCGACGATGATAGTCTTCTGTATGTATTCCGTGAACTGAACCTTGTTGGCGGACACGCAGCGACTACGATGAGCTTTTGGGTGTCGAGCACCATGATTTTGTATGTTTTGCAAGATGACGAAGCCATCGCCTACCAAATCGAAGATGAGTTCCATATCCTTCTGATAAAAGGCAGAAAGTCCCAATTTTTAATGATATTTTCCACCAAGATGAAACCTTTTGTCAAAAATGTGCACGTGGGGGCAATGCCTTTGTGTTCTTTGAATGGGTATTTCAAAATCTGATTGATCTCCTAGGTTTTTTGAATTTTGATGCTCCATCCATATTGGTTTTGTAGAAATCTCAAAGCAATCGACGCAATCAATTCAAGGGTGGGAGGGAGAAGAGAATGAGGAATAGGTGGTGCCGTCAAGGGAGTTGAGCCGTTGTGGTGGTGGAGGAGATGACTCGAGTGGGAGTCTAGTTTAAGTCCGGGAAGGAAAGGGACGATGGGATGGAATGGATAATGGATTAGGTTTAGAGAATTAGTAAATGGGTTATAGTCAGAAATAGGCCGTCCGGGGTCCCGTTATCCAAATCCTAGGACTCGGTCTGCCCCTTAAATACTATGGACCTGCCCCGCCCCATTTCTATTCTCAAAAAATTGGAACCGGCCCGTACTAGCCCCGAACCATGATTGCCCGCCCCGACCCGCAGTTCCTGTACCCGTTTGCCCACCCTTAAAAGCAACACTTGTTCATTGTTCAAATGCAAAGCAAACAACAAACTCAAGTATAGTCCTCCCAAACTTTTATCTAGTTTATAATATGAAGTGGGACGGGTAATATATGCATGAGCAATTTGGGTTAGAAATCAGATTGGATTTGGCTTGACATGGACAAGCAAACACAACCCAACCCAACCCAAAAGGGGTGGGTTCGAAAAATCGAAAACTGAAAACAAACCGAACCAAACAACAAACTGAAACCGAAATAAATTGAACCAAAGAAAAACCGAACCGGATTAGAAAAACCAAATCGAACTGGATCATATTGATTTGGTTTCGGTATCAAGAGTTCGGAAACCTAACTAAACCAAACCGAACCGAATTCTAAACCGATTTAAACGATTTTTATGATACACAAGTAACCCTTACTAACTAATACATTACTGTGTACATATGCAATTAGTTTAAGGATTCGTTATTGTTTTTTATTGTACGATTAGTTTAAGGATTTGTTATTGTTTTTTATTGCCAAGTGATGAAATGGATTTTGGCAGGAGCCAATTACTTAACTAAGACACGGTATGAAATGGATTCTATGTTAATTTCCCATTGCATATAATTATTAGAATTCAGTTTTTGCATTAAAATTATTTGAGGTCAGTGCCTTACGATTGAATAAGGCTTTTGCCCAGGTGTTTTATTTGGTACTGGAGTATATGCATCTTCCCTTATTTTTGGTAATGGAATAAATATGCATCTGCCCTCTCTTTGAAGTTTCAACAATGCATACATTAGTGATATAATGTACCATGCAACAGTGTTAGTACTTATTGAAAAAATATATATATAAAAAACCGAACAAAAGTCAAGCGAATGAAAAAATTAAAAAAACAATCGAATCGAATAGTAACTTCAATTTCGGCAAAAAACCAAATAGAAAGGAACCAAACCCACCCCTACAACCAAATAATAATCAGGTTGAGGTCGGGTTGGGTTTGGACGAGTTTTTCCTTCATTCTAACCTTCTCGATCGGGATTGAAATCAGGTTGGGCATGACCCAACTCATGTTGCATCCCTATGAGGTCGGGTTGGGTTCGGACGAGTTTTCCTTCATTCTAACCCTCTCGATCGGGTTTGAAATTAGGTTGGGCATGACCCAACTCATGTTGCATCCCTACTCATAAGGAGTGCAAATGAAAAATTTTAAGTAATAATAGTAGTTCTCAACTTATTTTTACAAACCTCCTCATAATCGCATTTTAATTTCAAAAAAAATCAAAAAAATCATTTCTCTCCCACTTCTCTCCTTTTCATATATTATATATATATATATATATTTAACTTTTATATTTGAATCTAGTAAACTATAAAATAAAGAAAAAGCCCATTTTGCTTCCAATTCCATCTTGTGCTTTCTTCCCCTCCCAACAATGAAAGCCCTCACTTAAAACTTAATCACTTTCTCTAAAACCAACTCTCAAAAGTCTACATCTTTAAACCCTTTTTCTTTCCAGAGAATCCAAGCGAAAGCAAAAGCATCGCGATTAACTCACAAAGCGAAAGGCTGGAGAGGTGGACGACCGTGGTGGCCACTGCACTGCTGCCTATTTCCTCTTGACTGCTGATTACGGCTCCGAGCCCAACGCTCTTGACCCTGTAAGTTCCTTTTTCTTCCCGCAATTTCATCTTCAGAATTCAAACTTTGATCCTGTTACGAAAAGGGTAGCGAGAAAATGAAAAATTAATATTTGGGTTCACAATTTAATTTCTCATGTGTGCAATTTGAGCTCACAAATTTGGGGGTTTTTCCATTTCGGGTTTGATTTACAATTGTTAGTTGTAGAATGAAGGTGTGTTGTGTAACTGGACTAGTTGGGTATGTTTTGTTTTCGCTTTTTGTCGATTTTGTTCTTGTCTTTTTAGCAAAATGATAATGTGAGTGAGATTTTGGGTAGTTTTCTCTGCTTGTGTAGTTACCACTCTGTAATTACAAATATTTTGGTATTTGATTGCTCAAGACACCCAAAGCGATCTTTCTATCACTTAGATTGGATTGTTTAGGACGAAGCCAAAGTTGCGATTGTAAAAAGCTGGAGAAAATGTGATTTAGGAATGCTTTTGGACCGCTATGCTTTGTAGATAATTGAGCACTTTCTCTTTTCTTCCCTGAATGTAGAGAGAAGCATTTTTAATCAGTTAGGAACGACGTGTTTTGCGAAAATTGGTAGTTGAAGGTACCTTAGAGTACCTGGACCTAGTAACTCTACTTGCATGACCAATAAAAAGAACAAAACCGGAAAAAAACTTAGTAAATCCTTGATTGCTGTTTTATCTGCATTTGTTATGGTTGCTTATAGTTTTATTTCACTTGCAGTTCATTGATGTCGAAACGATTGTTTCTCCAACAACTTTTGCCCGGCGTAGTTTGTCTTATCTCATGAGTGACAAGCTCTCAACGATGCAATGCAGGCACAAGTAGTTTCCCCAGTTTGGAAACTCTCAAAGACAAGGCGGGATTCTGCTTTTAATCACAAGGACTTTCGAACCACAGTTGAGTGTTATTCACATGTTAGGTTCTTATTATGATACTTGTGGGAAATTCTGAGTAGAGGTTTGATAAGAGTTGCTTTCATGTTCATACCGATATTTGATTTTGGCCTTCAATAGGATGTTCTTTATCTGACCTGTTAAAATAAATTACAATTTACTAAACACAACTTCGCACGAAATTTTGTTTGGTCTTTGGTGTAAGATATCCAGTCAGAATATGATCGTTGCATTTTATCTTCTAATTAATGATAGGAAGATTTGAAGAAACAAAATTGGTAATTTAAGGTATCTTAGAGTATCTGAACCTAGTAACTCTACTTGCATGACCAATAAAGGGAACAAAACTGAAAGGAAAAAAAAATTGGTAAATCCTTAATTGCTGCTTTCTCTGCATTTGTTATCGTTGCTGACGGATCTATTTCACTTGCAGTTCATTGGTTTGGAACAATGGTTTCTCCAACAATTTTTGCCCCGCGTAGTTTGTCTTATCTCATGAGTGACAAGCCTCAGGAAGCTATAAACGATGCAATGCAAGCACAAGTAGTTTCCCCAGTTTGGCACTTGCATGTTATCTTCAGGCTGTTGCCCCTTCGGCCCTTGGAATGGATGGTGAAGCTCAAGCAGCACTTACGGAGGGTACTATGCTTGAATCCTAAAGGAGCAAAGCAGCTGGACAGAAGTGAAAATCTAGGCTGGTCAACAAGGTGCCTAGTTTGCCACTTCTCTCGGTTTGGCTCTCAGCTTATATAGTCGTTGATCATAAGGTTTAAAACCACTGGAGCCAAAGCTTCATCATTTCCACGGTATTAGATTTTGTCATCTTCCAGCAGTATATGTTGTATTTGAATTGTTTTATTTGATTTGATTTCCTGTGCATCAAATGATTCGAGTATATGAGTTACTTTGACAAAATAGAAAGAAAAATAGAAAGTTGTAAAAAACACTGGTAGGGAGGATGTCATTCAGAAGCTTGTAATTTGTGTGTAGAAAGCATATAGGATTCCTGGTGTATTATTTATGATGAATTTTAATAATAATTAGTTTGTTAAATGTTGTCTGATCATTGATAGACATATGCACAAGACTGCAACCAATCCATTGAAATAAAATTTATGACGAACAAAACAATCATGTGCAGTCCAGAATTAACTGAATTTCTTTAGTTTATATCATGAATCAAAACATATACTGCAGAAAGGTCTTGATAAAGTAAATGTAGTAGTAAACTTCTTACAAATAATTAACACTAACAAATCATCTGCCAAGGAGATTTAGTAGTAAAGTTCTTTATTATGATAACTCAATACTTAGAAAACTTGTACAGATAATGGTCCATGAAAGCTCTTTCAGTGAAGTGAAGCCATCTACACTGTCTCAAAAGACGTTGTAGATAAAAATAAACAAGTACATGCAATTAAGTTTTGAAGAAGACAGTGAAATTAATCCGAAAGACTTTACGAATAGATGCATGCATATCGCTTAAATTTAAGAAAGACAAATAAAATCACATTTACATACCATTGCTTAATTGAAGTGCTGCTTGATTGAAATCACCCTCACATAAAACCAATCATTCAAGACATTCAAGAACCTGAAGCACGAGTATCTCCATGGCCTCACAAAATCCAAACTGCCACAAACTCCCCAAAATCCAACAATAAAGCCAAGCGCCATGCTGATGTAAAATCCCCATGTTATAGGATCATCCTTTTCTTCTTCGTTGCTCAAGATTGGAGTTTCCTGTTGATCACCACAGATCTTTGGAAGTGGAGGTCCACACAGCTGAGGATTTCCAGCATAATCAGAGGGATCAAAACTTTGGAGCTGAGTGCCAGTTGGAATTTTGCCAATTAAGTTATTGTATGACAAGTCCAAGACACTAAGACCATATATCTGAGCAAGGCTTGTTGGAATTCTGCCATCTATCTGGTTTCTTGACAAATCAAGGGCATCCAATGATTGCAACTTTCCAATCTTTGTAGGTAACTCACCTGTCAATCCGTTTCTCGACAGGTTTAAAGAAGCTAACCCAACAAGATCCGTGATTTCACTTGGAATCTCCTCCGTTAATCTATTGCTTGAGAAATCAATTCTCTTCACAAGTCCCAAAAGTGTTTTTGTACGAGTACATTCTTCCCTTCCATATAAATGTTGCATCATCCATATAATTAACTGCATAGAAAGTATCATCTCTTAGGTACGAATGTTGAAGGGTTGGAGATGAGTTTCCCTTCTGTGCCAAAACAGCAAAATTGCTGAGGCATTTTGGTATTGTTCCAGAGATGTTATTCGCAGACACATCCAAGTTTTGAATGTTTGTTAGACGGCATAGTTCAGATGGCATGCTTCCGTTGAAGTTATTAAAGGAAAGCATTAGGACAACCAATTTCTGAAGGCTGACCCCTAACCATTTTGGTATGGGTCCTGATAATTGATTGTATCCAACATCAATAACTTTTAAACTGGTGCAATTCTTTAAGGATGAAGGAAACTCGCCAACAAATCTGTTGCTTCTTAATTTCAATGTTTCCACGTGATATAGTGAGCCCACTGTGGATGGAATTTTGCCGAAAAAAGCATTGTAACTCAAATCAAGCATGACTAGATGGTCAAAATGTGTCCAGCATTGTGGAAGTTCTCCGGAGAGATTGTTGTTTGAGAGATTAAGAAACATTAAACTCTTGTATGAGAGATTGTTGTTTGAGAGATTAAGAAACATTAAACTCTTGTATGCTTCACACAAGATAGAAATTGACCCTGAAATGTTATTACTAGAGAGATCCAAATATGACACATGCGATAGAGTTGAGGGAATTGGACCTTCGATTTGGTTTGCACTCAAATGTATTTCAGGGTAATATGTAAAATTCGTTGTTGAATTTGGAAACATTTTTCCAATTTGGTTATTGAAAAGACTGATAAGTTGCACGTTACAAGTTGTACCCCAAAACCAGCTTGGAAGGACATCCACAATTCCAGCATTAGAAATATCGAGGTATGAATACTCATTCTGAGTTTGAAGCCATTTTGGAAAATACAGACCCATTTTGCTAGACCCCACTAAACTAACTATGAGGAGGGGGATTTGAACTTTGAGTGTAAGTTCAAGGGGAAGCAGACTGCTATAGCCAACTTGCTACTTGTTCTCAAGAAAGACTTTTCAAGTTATTAGATGTCAAGAAAAATTGACACTGAAAATTTTACAAGACCTTTAATCTTCAAAGAACAAAACAATACCGCCCATATATACAAAAAGTACTCGACAAAATGTTTCACTTAGAAAATAGAGAAAAATCTTTTGCCCGTTGCGCACTATTTCCATCTACAAAATCCTTGAATATTTTATACTGGGACCACCCAAGGTTAAAATTATGGATTCACCACTGCAAGTCAGTATAGCATGTTCAAGATGTTCCATATGAACATTTAATTATTAAAAGCAGTCAGCGAAACATCATCACAGTTTAGCACTGAAATTAGAAGTTCTAGGAATTATGAGAACAAAAATGGGGCAAATTCTGAATTTCAAGGTGTGCGGAAATCATTCTTACTTTTTATTTTGTTACTCTTCCATATACATTTTTTAAAAATTCCTCCCCGATATTTCCCCTCCATATCTTACCCAAAGAAAAAAAAAATTGAAACTAAAATATAAAAACTATCGAATTGGTTAAAATGGAATATCCTTCTTGATTAAGTCAACTGGTTTATCCTTTTTTTTTTTTTTTTTTTGCATAACTTGATCGATAACTTGTTGCAAGTTTGATACGATTCAATACTAGAAGAGAAGTCTGTTGGTAGTTGAGGGCCACTACCAAAGGGTTTTGGTCCATAAATTTCCCCATTACAATGACACTTCCTATTCGTCCACAAAGAAAAATTCGATTTTACTTTGTAGTTACCACTATCTATATGAATTATTCAATTAGTAAGTCAAGTCAATACCTGATCATTCGAGTTGTCTTTGTCTAATTTATGAAGTGAGATTTCCGCACACCCATTATTCAATTGTCATTGAATGACATTGACAGAATTTGCAGTGTTTTGTATATCAATCCAGTCATGTATGAACAAGTGACTCTGCTTTAACCTTTAACGACTACAACTGTAAGGCATACTTTTCTTCTGTAAAAACTTTTTTATATTTGTCAAGAAACCAGAAACTGGGCAGAATTCCAGCAAGCCTTGCTCGGATAGATAGTTTTTGTTTCTTGGACTTGTCATGCAACAACTTTTATGAAAAAATTCCAATAGGCACTCAGCTCCAAAGTTTTGATCCCTCTGTTTAGGCTGGAAATCCACAACACTGTGAACCTCCACTTCAAAAGATGTGTGCTGATCAACAGGGAACTGTGTGATGAGCTTATTGTTGGAATTTCACATCGGTGGGTGAAAAGAAAACAATGGGTTTTAAATATAATTAGCCCATTTTAATTAATACCGAGACCTTTTGTGGTAAAACTCCACAGCTGACAGATTGGGCAAGTGAGGTGGTAAAGTTCGGGACAATGTCGATGTCGTTAAAGTGGGACCCCTCGAGCCTGTCGATCTAAAAAAATTTCAACATGGTATCAGAGCCAAGGTTCGAGCCCGTGCAAGCCAACAAGCTTGTCACCAAGAAGGAAACAAGTCAGGACTCTTAACAGAGAGTTGGCCTCTGAGTTCCATTGAAAACAAGTATGGACTCTTAACATAGAGCCGACCTTTGAGTGTCAATTGCCAATGTATGGATCTCTACATGTGAACCACTAAATGGGGTTACACGTGAGGGGAAGTGTTGGAATTCCACATCGGTGGGTGAAAAGAAAACAATGGGGTTTAAATATGATTACCCCACTCTAACTAATACCGAGACCTTTTGCGGTAAAACCCCACACTTGACAGATTGAACAGGTGATAAAGTTAGGGACAATATCGGTGTAGTTAGAGTGGGACCCTCCACGATAAAAAACAACGGATTTTGAATCAATAAAATAACTAATCAAGTTGTTATTGGGTTACCCGTTAATAAGGTCGTTAACGGGTTTACATGTGGATGATTTGTTTCAACCCATTAAGATAAAAAGTTAGTTTGATAATTTTAAACTACTAAAACCTTACTAGTTACTACAATAGCCATACTTAATATCACATAAGTAAGCTTAAAAATTTTCAAGGCACTTTAAAAATACAAAGCAATTTAAAATGCCAAAGCACATTAAAAACTCATAATAATTCATTTAGAAGTGTGAAAATGTGAAAAAATATGCGGCGGTGGTGGGAATTGGATTTTAAACTACTAAAACCTCACTAATAGTTTGATAATTTTAAACTACTAAAACCTTAACGTTTAATCCAATATTTGTTACAAACGCTCTTCCTCTTAGTGTTTAAAATGCCAAGCACATAAGTCAGTTAGTTTGATAATTTTAAACTATTAAAACCTTACTAGTTACTACAATGGCCATACTTAATATCACATAAGTAAGCTTAAAAATTTGAGAAATTGTTAAAAATGACCAATTTTCTTAATCTTAGGATTGAAATAGGACAAACCGAATATGCACACGTCATGCACAACAAACAATAGGATAGAAATATAATTTTTCTTACACGTTGAAATGACTTAATTACCCTCGTATATAAATGAGTTATTTCCTTCAACTTAGTCACCATTTGCACCTTTATCCGAAAATCTCTCTCACCCAATCCCCAAGAAGAACCCTAACCCACAATCCCCAATCCCCAATCCCGTTGGTTGACCCTGCTTTTTGTCATCAGTTCTGTCGCTGGACTGGCCGGTTTCTCATCCTCCTTCGAATCGAAACAAGGAATTTGGGAGGGGCCTGGTTCGAGACAAATCAGGGAATTTGGGAGGCCCCTCTCTCTTAGAAACAAGGAATTTGGCAATTTGGACTTTTGTGTATTCGGCCTTCGTGCAGGTAGAAAATGGGGCAGGTTTTGATTTTGTTAATTTTGGTTTTTTATTTTTTTAATCATTTCTTTGATTTTTATGTGAGTTTTATTTCTTCTGTCTTTTCCCTCTCTCGATCCAAATTTACAAGCACTAAAATAAGATTTGCCTTTAGCTGCAATTAGAAGAAAAAATGTATTAAAGTTCAGTTGGCTTTTGCAAAGCATATATTTAGAGAGAGAGAGAGGAATATCCAACTTTTGGGGCTCACTGTTGATTGTTAAAAGCCTCTTCTGGAACTGGAGCTGCAAGGGAAAGAAACATGGCAGCAGATGGCTTACCTTGGTCTGGGTTTGCATTTGGGCCTGCATGCACACTTGACACACTGCAACTGTTTTAAGTTGATGTCCTAGTCCGATGTCCAGATAACAGTACCATATCTCCAGCGAATATACTACTCTGACAACTTGTCTTTCTGTAATAAAATTGCTACATAAATTTCAGTTGATCAAATCATTCATTCATTCTAATATTACAACATCCACTGATCCCATTTCAAGAATCAAGGTGAATAACCATTCTAATGAAATCAGAATCTATGATAACGGTAGGATTACAGAACTGTTTCTTTGCTGCCATTAGCTCGAAATGACTCCTTTGTTATTCCATGGTAAACTGGTTCTTCACCTACAAATGTAATGGAATTCCACCCAAAAGCAGACCCACCAACAATATTTGTCCCTTGAGTCTAACCATCTTCAGCCCGCTGATTCTCGCTGGCTACACCTGATGGAAACTTCTTTTCTGATGGTTTTCCAAAAGCCCTTGTATCTTGGGGCTTTTCACCTGGCGCATTCTTATTTCTTATGGCCGAAACTGTTTCCGCTATCATCTGTTTGCAAAGTTCCATCAGCAGCTTCACATCTGCAATTTGCAACATACATAATCATAAGCAAATCACAAGTAACAAACAACATCTCATGCAATTGGCTCCGTCATAAAAAGCCTTGAACTCAAAAGTGTCTAAAGGAATCCAAAAACTGGAGTGAAGGCATACATGGAGCTCAAGAAACTCAGGACAGAACCATGCGTCAACATAAGAAGATGAGTGAGACAGATATCTCCTAGTAAAGGAAGCAGAAGGCCATCTGAATGCTAGATTAATAAACCAAGTTAGCACGTGAATGAAGGTCGGATGTAATCATAAGTACCATATTAATAAACCACTATTTTAAGATTAACAAATCAGCTCAGCTTTATCATATTAAACTCAAGGGATAAATATATGCCATTGTGTGAAAAGATGAAATCAAAATCCTGGTGAGCTGACAATCTTGAATTTCTTCGGATGATTTGCACGTTCGAAAGTCAGGGGTCCGGAGAACCTTCAAGATGACAAAAAACAAAAAGTTACTCCATCCATACTTCATTTAATGTAGCAAACAAACGAAGCAGCGCACAACAGCAGGATTTAAAGAAATTGATTGAGAATGATTACAATGACAAGGTTGATAGATGAACAATCTACAAACCAAGTTAACTCCCATAGGCCTATCCTCTGCAGTCTCAAAAGGACCAAATCAACTTCTAAATTCTACCCATGGCATACAGATTACGTAACGATCACTTAACACATTAATAAAGACTAATTTGGACAGCTTCACTTAATACAAAATAGAAACACCTGAATTCACTGGAGAACATAAATACTTGCCTTCATTCTTCACTTAATAGTTCAAATATTAGAATTTTGCAACCGAAAACATTAACCATCTCAATCATTACTAACAGACATTTCCATCAAATTCATTATTTAGACGATTTTTTTTTTTCAAGGCAGAGTTACTAAGGGCGCCTAAAATGCAAGTACAAGGCGGCGGAATTACAAAGATTATACATTTATCTAATCTTTTTATAGAAAACGAAATATTTAGAAATGTTAAAGACATTCAAATTGTGAATCCAAACAAACCCAAATGCACAATTGAATAGAGAGAAAACCCGGTCCCAGATCACAAAAATCTTCAAAATTCACAAGAAATTCACATAAAGATGCAAAACTTGGGAGATGGGTTTTTAACTTTTAGAGAGTGGATGAGTTGGAGAAAAGGGCATCATTTTCAAGAGGTCTCTTCTTGGTCTTGGAAGGAAGAGAAACCGGCGGAGGCCATACAGGGAGAACTTCGGCGGAGCTCAGAGGGGATGGGAGGACTTGGGTGGCTGTGGACACGGCTGGCTTTGCCTCTTCTTCCATTGTTGTTGTTTATTCGGTTTCGGGTTTAAATTGGGTTCGGGCTTACTCAAGTGAATTCGGGTTTGCCTAAATTTATCAAGGATAGTACTTGGGTACTGACAGTTCCAGACAAGCAAAACCATTGCAAATTCTTTCACAAAAAGCTATCACCCATCTAACTGAACTCATACGATTTACTTTTATAAAAAAGAGATTCATGCTCTGTTCTTCTTCACGCACTGATTGTTACCACTATGGAGATCCAAATTAACTAATGGCAGAAATTGTGGCTTCAGGATCTTGCTCGTCACCACAAGGCACAAACATCATCGATCAAATGGTGAGAGGGACTGTCCGAATTGATGATGATAGGTCGCAATCATCGCCATCGTCCATAACGGAGGACGACGATCGCAGTCGCTGTAGAAGAAAGGGATTGGTGGGTCGCAGGAATTAGGGATTGGGATCACGGGAGAAGAGAGGGGTTGTGGGTGCGTCAGGTTCGATGAGGGAGAAAGAGAATGTTTGGTTTGATGAGGTACTGAACAGTCACCAAGTATTATCCTTTTATCATATTCAATCTTTTTAACCCTATTATTTTATAAAATAGATCTCAAATTTTGAACCAAATCATGCAGAACTATTTAAAATTCAATTTTACACATCATAATCTATAGAAAATAATAAACCAAATAGCAAATACGCATTTTAAAGTTTCAACCATGCAAAGTTGAAATTAAATGACAAGATAATATTAATATTTTAACAAAAAGCAATACTATTGCACATTGTTCAAATAAAAAGCAAACAACAAACTTTAAGTATAGCCATTCCAAACTTGTATATAGCTTATATAATACGAAGTGGGACCAGCAATATGTGTATGAGCAATTTGAGTAGAAATTGGATTGGGTTTGGGTTGACATGGACGAGCAAAGCATCAATCCAACCCAATAGAGATTGGTTCGAAAAATTGAAACCGAAAAAAAATAGAACTGAACACCGAACCAAAACTGAAATAAACCGAACTAGATTATATTGGCTTAGTTTCAGTTTCAAAAGTTCGGAAACCGAACTAAACCAAACTCAACCGAATTATAAACCCATTTAAACGAGTATTATGATACTTAACAAACCCTTACTAACTAATACATTACACTCTGTACATATGCAATTAACCTAAGGATTTTGTTATTGTTTTTTATTGCCCAGTGCCTAAGATGAAATGGATTTTGGCAGGAGCCAATTGCTTAACTAATAAACGGTATGAAATGGATTCTATGTTAATTTCCCATTGCATATAATTATTAGAATTTAGTTTTTGCGTTATAATTATTTGAGGTCGGTGCCTTATGTTTGAATAAGGCTTTTGCCCGGTTGTTTTGTTTGGTTATCCATGTAATGTAAGCTTAGCTTGATACAATTATTGGTATAATTTTTTGATAGTTGTTTTATCATTTTTAGTACTGGAATATATGCATCTTACCTTATTTTTAGTAATGGAATAAATAAGGATTCGGCCTTCTTTTGAAGTTTCAACAATGCATACATTAGTGATATAGTGTACCATGCAACGGTGTTTTTTCTGTTTTATTTGAACAAACGATATTATCTACACTAAGGGGTGAGGGAGTGGGCTAAGTCTCACAGTGGACTAACAATAATATGGTTCAAATTCGCCTTTGGCGATAATCAAACCTAAAACTTCTCACTTACAAGTGAAAATGAATATTGCTAGACCGTAGTTGTGACAACCCGTCCCAAAATATAATATATTTTATCATCGATAGCGTGGAATGACTATTTTACCCTTGAGCGTTGGGTTGTGAATGTATTATTGGGCTAAGAAAATGGACTAATTATTTTCATTTCCTACTTCTTTGAACCCAATTGAAGCTTGGGATTGTTTTGGATGAATCTTAGCCTACAATTGGTAGCCCAATTAGGGCTTAAGGATTTTATATGGATACCCAATCCGGACACACACATGCGCACACACATGTATAGACTTCTCTCTCTCCCTCTCTCGAGTCTTCCTCATCCGTACAATCTGTACGTCTAATCTCTCTACGAACTTCATCTCTCACAAATCGAGCTAGTAGAGGTTTTTTTTGAACTCCTTGCAAGCCTTGGAGTCGAGCCATGCCTTTGGTTTGAGGAAAAGACTAGTAGAACTCGAGACGCCCGAGCTCTGGCAAGGAGTGGAATTTTCTTCTGTGTGATCGAGAAGATATTAGCTGGATTTAAGACTTAAGAAGGTAAGAATTCATCTTCTCTAGCATGTTAGGCTAGTTTTGGTTAAGTTTGGATGCCGAAATGAGCTTGGTTGTGGGATTGCAGGAATAGCCAGTTTTTCAAGGATTTTTCCAGCCATTTTTCTTTGGGTTTAGGACGTAAAAGTGGTAAGAACTAGTTCTACTCGTTTACAACTTCATTTTGGTACAAATTTCATGAAATTTGGTTGAGGAATGGCGAAGATATTCACATTTTAAGTTTTCCAGAAACCGGCAAGTGCAGTGGTGGCTGGTGTCGGAATCCGGCGAACCATTGGAGAAGAAGGAGAATATTTCTTCAATTTTGACAGAATATGTTAAGGGCGTCAAGTAAAATTAACGGCATATGCTATTATTTAACGGAATATTCCTTAACGCCATTGGGGAATCCGTCAGTATGCCAGGTACGTGGGCGGCGCATGTGGCTGTGCCTTGACTGGTGCATGAGGGCACGTGGGAACTTAGAAAATTATTCTAAGAATATGGGGATGTTCGTGGGGTTGAGTAGGTCACAATGGTATTTCAAATACCCCAATTGAGCAACGTATGAGAAGTTATTACCTAGTTTTGGTTATTTGCTTAAAATAACGTTAAAATAGTTGTTTCACATATAGGTGAGACGTTTCCAGAGGACAAGTGCAGTCAGGCGAAGCTCGGGGGTTACGATCCTGCCACATATCAGTAAGTGGGCTTTTGGTTTTCAGTATATATATATGCTTGGTATTTTTTCCCAGAAACTCATTTAAATGGACTTATGTTTTGAAATGCCATGCCAAATATTTTATACTTAGAATATGCATTTAGTAGTTGCACATATTTATGTTTGATGCTACAAAAGCTCAGGTAAGTGCCAGGTGAGTTTATAGATTATGGATGTGAGTTGCATGATTATGTTGAGATATATTATAGCTCATAAACTTGCACCCCGATGTTAGTGCTCCCGCCCGTGGTCAGGGCATAGTCCTTCACGTGACGTTCACCTCCCGCATCATACACTCACCTTGGATCCAAGTTAGGTGCACAGTCCTGTCGTACAGACTATTATACGTGGTTCCGACTCGTAGGTGATCCGCGATCATTTGCACAGTCTTCACGTGATCGTAGCATTTGAGCGTATTTATTTACACCCAGTCCTGTCGTACAAACCATTTTAGGTGGTTTCGACTCGTGTGCAGGCATACTTGTTGAGGTATTGGTTGAGCCATACATGTCATATTAGGTGACTCCGCCTAGATGGATGAGCTATAAATTCAGCCGTACATGTCATATTAAGTGACTCCGGCTGACATATCATTTGGATTAATTTATATCACCTGGCTTACATATTTTATGCTGAGATATTTGACATGGCATATATGTGGATTTTGCTATTCCGAGCATGATTTTGATATACGTATGTATTCTATTTTCTAGGAAATTATACAGGTTTTACAATGAGGGGTTATTACTTTTGATAAGTGAAATGATTTTGAAAAGCTTTGTTTTTGCCCACTCACACTTTTTGTTTTGCGCCATTCCAAGTTTTAGGTAGGAGTGCTTATTTGGTGGCTTACGAGGAATTGATGGCGATTCTGACAGATTATCATTAATGTAGGACCACCTCTAGTATTGTATAATTAGTATTTGTCCTACTGGATTGCACTTTGGCTACCTATGCTCTGATTATTGTGTAACCACATTTAAATATCGAGATTGCACTTTTATTTGCTTAGTGTAAATTAGTTAGCTTGGTTCTTAGTTATTCACATTTCTTTATATCATTATCATTTCCGCATCGCACACATGGCTACGTCACCCTCACGTGACGACTAGCATGCCTTGATTTTGGTCAGGGTGTGTCAGTAGTACTAAGTGGCCATGCAACGGTGTTATCTTTATTGAAAATATACATTAAAAAAACCAACCCGAAAAGAAAAATCAAACCGAATAGTAACTTCGGTTCGATTTTCAGTTTCGGCTAAAAACCAAACAGAAAGGAACCGAACCCACCCCTACAACCCAATAAATAATCGAGTTGAGGTCGGTTGGGTTTCGGCAAAAAACCAAACAAAAAGGAATCGAACCTACCCGTACAACCCAATAAATAATCAGGTTGAGGTCGGGTTGGGTTTTAGTGGGTTTGTACTTCATTCTAACCCTCTTTATTAGGTTTGAAATCGAGTTGGGCATGAGCAGATTCAGGTTGACCCAACCCGTGTTGCACCCCTACTTGTGAGAAATGCAAAATAGAATTTTTAGAGTGGTAATAACAGTTCTCAATTTTTTTGTTTTTTTGACAAACTTGAGATGAAAATACATTAAGGATCAAAGTGAAGCAACTCAAAAAGGGGGATTTTCTTTAAATCCTTGACTAATATCTTTTTGCACAAAATCGAAAATGGTTTGAAGAGCGACTTGATATAATTATTTATATTCATAATAAAACTATGTAATATTTTGATGTGGCAACACTCTTTTTTCCCTTTGTGTGGATTAAAATTCCCCAAGATGATTTTCATCTCAAAAACCTTATCCTCATCTCATAAGTATCGTATTTTCACTATATATAATATCTTGGGTTAATCTCAGTTTACTATCTTGAAATTCGTGGTTTTTAACGTTTGGTACATAAAGTTTCTTTCATCCCAGAGTCACACCTCAAGTCTTAATTTTGGTATAGACTCATACATCCGTTAAGTTTTCCGTTAGAAACTCCGTTAACCGATGATGTGGTGCCCATGTGGACAATGATTAGGTGCCATGTGGACATAAAAAAATTGAAAATTAAGAAAATTAAAAATAAATAAAAACTAGGATAAATTTAAATTTACTACCTTGAAGTTTTTGATTTTTAATATTTCATACATAAGTTTTTTTCTTCTTGGACAGTTTCATACATTCATTAAGCTTTATGTTAAAACAGTAGTTAACCTGTGACGTGGCGCCAACATGGACGATGACTGGGCGCCACGTGTTAATTTAGGCCCCACATGGATATTAAAATTTTTAAAATTTAAAATAAAATGAAGGGTTGAAATTATGGAGTTCCTAGCGAGTTACCTCCGTATTGAAGGTGACTCTCCTAGTGTTGTTGTTTCAAATTCGACACCCCGCTTCGATCTTTGCGTCAACATGTTGCGGGCAGCAAGGTCGAGTTTGCCCAGGTTGAGTTTTAAACTCGCCAGGAACTTGGTGTTTTTAATTTTTAATTTTTAATTTTTTAATATGCACGTGGGCCATAGATTGACACATGGTGCATAGTCATTGTCCACATGGACATCATTTCACAAGTTAACT